AGATGCAGTAGACCTACCTAGAGGAGTCTAGAACGTTCTGCTTAGAAATACAGACAGAGGAGAGGAAGCATAAATACCTCTAGCTCTCCCCCCTCTGTTCGCTCTGTACCTAGCCTAGGAATCTTTACCTAGTATCTAATATAATAACTTGTGTATTATATTACATAACCCTACCTTACCTCTATTAGGCTATACGCTTCCTATTTAGACAAAGCTAGTCTAGATTTGTCTAGGTCCTTCTAGACTAGGAAGAAAGTAGTCTAGTCCGTCCCCTACTTTCTTTACAATAAGAAGCACGTCACAATAGGATACCTAGCTAGCTAAGAATAACTAGGTAGCTATAGAAGCAGAGACGTACAAAGTTGCTAAATTATTATAATTAAATATAATAATAAAGGACTTCCTAACAGCTATAAACAGGGTTACGCCTATCTAGGCTACAAGCTTTTAAGATAGCAGACACTTTAAATCTAGTATAAGCTAGAAGGAGATAATAAAATACTACTAAGAGTAACGTAGATTATCACCAAGCCAGCCATATCACTAAACCAGCCATTTTCTCTTAGCACGACTAACACAAGTTACTGTAACTACAACTACTTACTATTAAACAGTGACCTAGCATACTACATGCTTATATTAGATTTAGAAGATGTTTCTGTACCCTCCTAGCACGTTCGTGCGTTGTGTCTAGTCTTGCTGCAGTTCCTACAGCGCTAAACAGTTAACTAAGTTCCTAGTTAACTACCTCCACCCTAAGTCTTCTTAGATGGCTGAGCTGCTACACACGCCTTAGCAGCTACCCGCGATGCTGCTGGGCCATACTCAAGTGTGCCACCATGCTAAATCTGCTTTCTCTTACGCAATTTTCTCTTAGTTATTACTGCTAATTGCTCTTTAAGCTCTTGCACGCAGGCCTTAATAAGGACGTTTTTGTACAGCATCTCTTTAGCCCCTTTTATAAGCTTTAAGAACCCCTCTTATACTGCACTTAGTAATTATTAGAAGGAGTTACTTACAAGCTTAGATTAAGACCTAAACTTGTGTGTATTACTTAGCGTCTTAGATTGCTACAGTGTTTTAGGTAGAGGTACTACTAGTAGGGTATGCAGCTGCACTTTAAGGCAATCTAACACTACCTGTGTATTAGTAGGAACAAGCTCTAATAACGTGTTTCACCACCGAGCGGTCACCCCCACCGAGCGGTCACCCCTCATCAAAATCGCGACTATTGCAGACTATCACAACAATGCCACCACAACGCAACGCGCAATCAACCTACAACGAAGGTACACTATACCTTGCTATCCAGGCTACCCAAGCTACCCCTCCTGATACTATAAAACACGCGTCAAAAGCATTTAACGTCCCCTGAACAACGCTAGTACGACGACGCGCTGGAAGGCTCGCCTAACGCGACTGTCAGCCCAACTCAAGCAAGCTAAATAAGATAGAGGAGGAGGCAATAGTTGCACGTATACTTGAGTTAGACGCGCGAGGGATAGGCGCTACAAGGGCTATGGTACAAGAAATGGCTAATGATCTCCTTGCTGCACGCGGTGAAGGACCTGTTGGCAAGAACTAGGTAGACAGGTTTAGAACGCGTACCAAGGAGGTTAAGCTTCGACGCAGTCGCTCATACGATCGTCAAAGAGCCCTAAACGAAGATCCACGCGTTATAGAGCTGTGGTTTAAGCTAGTTGCTAATACAAAGGAGAAGTATAGGATTCTAGATAAAGACACACACAACTTTAATAAGTCTAGCTTTATAATAGGCATAATTGCTGCTTAAATAGTCTTTACAGGCTCTGAGAAGCGAAGCAATCCTAAGAAGATATAGCTAGGCAACTAAGACTAGGTTACAATTATCTAGGGTATCTGCGCTGGTAGGTGGGCTATCCTACCCTTTATTATCTTTAGTGGCAAGGTCCTTATATTAAGCTGGTATCCAGGACTACCTCGCGACTGGGTAATTAAGACTAGCGCTAACAGCTGGACAATAAATAAGCTTGGCCTGAAGTGGTTGAAGCACTTTAACGCGCATACAAAGGAGCGTACTGTGGGTGCGTACCGTCTGCTTATTGTGGACGGCCATGAGAGCCACAGCAACCACTAATTCCTTAAGTACTGCGAGGAACAGAAGATTATCACTCTCTGTATGCCTCCTTATTCATCGCACCTGTTGCAGCCGCTTGACGTAGGCTGTTTTGCCCCATTGAAGCGGGCGTACTCTGCTGAGATTGACAGCTGGGCGAGGTACTCTGTCACGCAAGTCAAGAAAGAGACATTCTTGCCAGCCTTTTGCATTGCTTTTGACAAGACAATTACAAAGGAAAATATCCTAGCAAGCTTTAGAGGCTCTAGTTTAGTACCCCACGACCTAGAGTGAGTGCTATTAAAGCTTGATGTGGTGCTTCGCACGCCAACACCTCCACCACCAGAGGCCACCCCATGGGAGTCAAAAACGCCAGCCACCCTAAAGGAGATAGAGGCGCAATTAACGCTAGTTCGTGAGCGCATACAAAGGCATAGAGAATTACCAATCTCTCCTCTTCTACAGGCTGTTAATTTGCTTGCAAAAGGTATAGCTATTATAGGTTACAATTCAGTGTTACAGGCGCGGGAACTAGCTAGTATTTGTAAGGTAATAGCTACTCTAACAGAGCAGCGCAGTCACAAAAGAAAGTATATTTAGGTAGAGGAGAGTCTAATAGTAGGTGACGTACTAGATTTAATAGCTAAGAAGGACTGTAGTGGTGGGGAGGTAGCTGAACAGGGTGCAAAGAGGGTGCGCAAAGACCAACACTGTAGGCGTTGTGGCAAGACTAGCCACAATTCGCGCACCTGCACAGCAGAAATTATAGATTTAGATAATAGCGATGCTTCTGAATAATATTTTAGGCTATACTATGTTTTAGTGCAGCGTTGTGGTGTAGAGATAATTAACTACAATAGTCGCGATTTTAATAAGGGGTGACCGCTTG